GGCTCCTTCCATAGCATGACACTAGAGTGGATGCTGGCGTGGTCCAGTCTTCTCCTAGCAAAGTCCATAACAAGTGTACAGGCAAAAGGGAAGCTGGAGGCGGGTTGGGAAGAGGGAAAGGAGCTAGCTTTGTGGATTTCAAGTGAGTGGCTGTTCCTTGGCATCCAGGAAGGAGCATAGGTTCAAAAAGTAAATTGTATATGTACAAGATAGGGAAACATTTGTAGACAACAGCTCTTGTCAGGGAAAATACAGAGCTTTGAGTGGATGAAAAGGTCAAAATGAGATCTAGCAGCCAAAAAAGCTAGCATGATCTTAGGTTGTCAATAGAAACATAGATGGAAGCCAGAACCTGAGAGATGATAAATCCTGCCCTGAACAGCCCATCTCTGGAGTATTATGTTCAGTTCTGGGACTTACCACATTTTAGCCACAATTCGAACAAACAAGAGAATGTCAGGAGGAATGTCAATGACTGGACTGGAAACCATGCCATGTGAGGAATGACCAAAACAGGAATTTTTAGCCTACGACCTATGAATTTGTTGTTATTGTTATTGTTTTATTACCATATTTTGATAATTGTATTTTAATATGACTGGTTGCCTTTGTACATCTGTATTTTATGCATTTAATACCCTTATTCTGGCTTCAGATTGCCAAAGGGGTCTGAGAGATACACAAAAAAGGTTAAGAATCCCTATAAAGGGCACCCTTAGCCTGGGAAGAAGACTTAAAGGGACAGTATAGTTGTTTAACAGCTAAAAATGATGCTAAGACTTTTGGGACACCCTGTATCTGAAGGGCTTTCATGGGAAGAGAATCGGGCTTATCTTACTTGACCCCAGAAAGCAGAATGAGGAGGAGCTAGAGGTGTTGCAGAAAGACATGTTTGGTCTTTACTTATGACGAACATTCTAAGCAACAGGAGCTGTCTAACAACACAGTGGCTGCTTCGGGAGATGATGGTTTCCCAGTCACTGGGGATCTTCAAGATGACTCTGGATGACCACTTGTTGAGGAATGTTATAGTAGGCTTCTCTTCAAATTTAAGTTAGATTACGTTACCTCTGAAGGTCCTTTCAACTCTGAGATTCTGAAAGTCAATGATTCTGTGAGAATCAACTCATTCACATCTCACTCTTACTTTAAAGAAGGGAGAAATGGGCTGCGAGGGCCGCCAGAAGAACTCGAGTTATACATAAGGAAGGACTTCCCAGCAGGGATGGGTATCATATCCTGAAACCAGTAACTGGAATCTCTTAGCAGAAGTCTTTAAGAATAGGGCTCATTCCTCTATGGGCTACTTGAGGTACATTCCTCATTGGAGGAAGTCCTAGAGACAGGATGAGATCCCCGTAGTTGAAGATTCCAGTGAAGTCAGTACCAGGTTGTAGCTCTAAAAAGCAAATCAACAATGTGGAAGTGTAGCGAATCTGAAGTTTTGGTGCTAATAGAAATCTCACGCATCTCACACTGTACAATGTTTTCATTTGACAAGTTTATAAAGACTACTGAGGTGATTTACCCAGGGATGTGTCTCCTGGATCACCAGTGACAGCCTGCTCCATTTGACCGTGATGCCTGAGCATGAACAAACCCCTCAGTGGAACTCTGGCCCATTAAATGCACTATATTAATAGCAGAGAAGTTGTGGTCGGGTCTTTTGGAGATATTTCTCACCCGGCCCGCAGCCCCAGTGAATCCTGTGGGTCCCATAAAACACTTCTTTATTGGGGCAGGTTATAGTCTGCCGTTCTGCTCCTTTTATTGCTTCCCATTTTGTGATCAAACACTTTTAACTCCAAAACAAACACCACACCACCCAGAGAACAAGCCTTCTCTGTTTCCACCATCACCTCGGGTGGAAAGCCCAGGGCTGAGACAGAATGCACCTGGGTGTTCTTTCCATCAGCTCAGGTTTATTACAGGGCCTGACGTTCTTCCCTCCTGAAAGTGTAATGTAATGTAATGTCATTGCTATTTCAGCAATTTCCATTACATTCATGTGCTTATTTAAATATGGGAAAACTAACATTTCACTGCACAGTGTGGAAAACTCAATATTTAAATCCTAGAGCCATATGGAATGAGCACAGAAATTAGAGTTCAATGACCTGACTTCAATGCCCAGCTTTTTAGTTTTCTAGCTGTGGGACCTTGGACAAATCATTTCTGAAACCTCAGTTTCCTCTTCTATAAAATGTGAATAACAATATGTACACTACCTACCTCCCAGAATTTTTGTGAAGATCAAACGAGGTGATTTTAATGCTACATAAATATGATTACTGTTTATTATTATTATTTCACCTCATGGCCTTTTTGACAACAGTTATGAGAAAGCTGAGACTTCCACAGTCTGACTCTATCTTCCCTTGAAACTCCAGTTTGGGTATTTGGAAGAGAAAACATGGAGGGGCGTTTAAACGTATACAGATTACAATAGGTGAACTGGATAATGAACCTTTTGGGTAATGAATATAATCCCTGCCCTCTGGGAGTTTCTAGTTTAATGAGGAAGGCAAGACAGGCACATAGTGTCTTTCCGTCTTTAATTATAGTTCAAAGTAGGGACAAATAAATACGGCTCAGCCTGAGTCTGTAAGTCTTGTGGGGATATAGCATAAGAAGAAATCAGAATTAGGGAAGACTTCTGTGAACCTGTGGGGAGAAATCTCATGCATGCCATGCTAGAGTGAAGCAGATGGAGACAGGGATGCAAGAAACAAATTTTAAAAGAGGAACTGACATTTGGGGTCCATCTTTCATCCAGGAATCCACTGAAGCATTGCTGGTCATTTGGTTGTCTGTTGATGAAGGACAGAGCCTGTGGCAGTGCTTTGGCTGCGAGTGAGGGTAGAGATGAGAAAGGACCAGTTTCCTAAATTTGTTCCTTTCCCTTCCATCCAAGGCAGGGACTGAGTGTTTCATACCCTAGCCCTTAGGGATGAGCTTAAGACTTACTCTTTTTCAGAGAACATCATCTTTATTGCTCTAAAGATGAGATAAGGAAAAACTCTCACCAGTGTGGTAGGAGAGAAGCATGCAGTCTTCATTGATACTTTGGCCTTCATTACCCTCCTTGAGGTATCAGATATATCCATCAATCATAGAATCTCAGGGTTGAAAGAGACCTCAGAGGCCACCAAGTCCAACCTTCCCTGAAGCAGGAATTCCCTCTACCACGGACCTGACAAGGCGTCACACTACCTCTGCTGAAAGACCTGCCATTTTGAGCAACTCTGTAGCTCTGGAGGGGAAGCCATTTTGCCCTTGGGTAGCACTAATTAATAAGAAATTCTTGCTCACCTTGAATCAAAATCTACCTCTGGCCAACTGTCATTCATTGCTCTTGGCTCTGCCCTCTGGGACCAAGTGAAAAAAGCCTTCCACATGACCACATGTTTTTAAGTCATTTAGAGACTTAAAAACAGCCATCGTGCCCCACTTTATCTTCTTTTATTCAGTCTTTTCTTATCCAGAATAAATATCTCCTATTCCTTTCAACAATCTGCCCCTAGTATGATTTCAAGTCCCTTCTCATCTGAATCACCTTCCTCTAACCAGAGCAAAGTATAATGGGATGATCACCTCCCTTGATTTGCGCTATGCTTCTCCTCTTGCTACCTAAGATTGTATTCACATTCTGGCTGCCATGTCACAGATTTATATCGAGACTGGATTCCGTAACACCCGCAGGTCTTTTTCATAAGACCTCTGGCCTTGTCACACTTTATCCAGCTGATTTCCTTTTAATCCAAATGTTGAACTTTTCATTTATTCTCATTACATTTCATCTCATTCTATTCAGGCCATTATGCTAAGCTGTCAAGATCTTTTTTGGATCCCTATTCCATCCTCCAACATGTTAATGTATCCATCTCAACTTCATTTTATCTGTGCTACCCAACACTGGTCACAAACCCAGCCTTTTATTCCCACCTCCATGTTGTGATTGTATTGTGTGATGGTGCTTGGAAAACTTAGTGTCATGTGAAAAGCCAATGATGTAGGCTTTTTTCCTTTTTATAAATAAATAAAGAACTTCTCAGATGCCTGGCTTCCATATGAGGTACCAGCTGCTCTATTTCACTAGGGGGTAAAGTATCATTTTAATTGAAAAGTTCAGCCCAGCTCCACCTGCCAAAATAAATCAGGACAGCATTATTTTACTTAATATTTTAATTCAAACTCAATAGCATTTTTAAAAAAAACCCTACTTTGAGAGAGAGCCATGCTTTAAAAAGTAAATGAGGCGGATTTGGTTTTTTGTTTGTTTTATTCAGAAAACAGTCATTTAACTCAGACTGGGACTATTTGCTTAGATATATTTCAGTTGTAGAAAATTTCATAAGTTCCCGTTTCCCAAGATAACACAAGGACCTTCAGTGCACCTAAATAAATTTTCATATCTTTGTCCTGGATAGCATTTAGCATTATACGTGCTTATTACTTCATATAACAGAAATAATGATGAGAAAGAAAATATAATTGTATATTTCTATAAGTAAATACATAGGGATGACTGGTTCAGTTTTTAGTTCTTCCAAAGCTATAACCAAGGTAGAATAATGGGGCTTTGCCCCATGGTGTCAAATTGCAACACTTGCAATCCTTCAGCAACTAGAGACAATAGAACTTAGTACCTAGTTAGAAAAAATCATTAGTTAAAGTAGAAACTACCAAATGGCCAGCTCCTTCCCCCAGGTTCTATTCAACTGAAGGCACACTCTGTGCCACTTATCTCAGGCACAATTTGTGGTATTTGCCTAGGAGTAAAAGTACCTAATTACAGGTCTGAGTTCCTCCCAAGGTTGGGAGTTAGAGCAGAGTGAACCTTGGACTTACTGCTCGCTGCATTAAGAACATTGAATTCCTGCCACCAACTCAGCCTGTCATTTCTTTCTGGGAGAGAAAAATATAACAATAATGGCAGACAAGAAACAGCAGCACAGACCTCATCCCAGTGAAATTGTCCACAGTTGTTGTAGCCTTGCCCAGCCTCTCTGGTGTGGCAGAAGAGAAAGGTCAGCTGCTCATTATTAATGCCCATCTCGGATCTCTCACTGCATGGTGCCAGTGACTCACAAGGTGGCCTTGGTGGGCATGTGATTCTGCCCAAAGCAGAGGCTCTGTGCCTCTCCAGTCAAAACCCCAATCTGGCGCTGAGGGTTTGACTGTGCCTGGAGGTGGCAAAGATGATCTCTGCCTCAGAGTGAGCAGAAACAGACCCAGCTGCTAGAAGCCGGTCAGCCGTGCCTGGGGCCAGCCAGAGCCCCTCGTAAAGGAGCACCAGCCATTGAGTGTGCTGAGGCTTTGGGCACTTAGGTTTTTATTCCATTTCCTAAATTCTGGTGGAGGAGGAGGAGTGAGAAGCTGACAGTCAGCCAAGATGTTAAAGCGGATTAGTTGGAAGCATTCTAAGAGGAGCAAAGCGCAAGTGAGTATGTCTCCCAGATAGCTGAATTTTTTTTTCCCCTGGGGAACAGAGGGTACCAGGATTCCAGAATCAAATGGAGATAGAAGAGAAAGCCAGTGGCCAAGCTAAAGTCAGGGAAAGCAGGAGCGGCAGGCTTTAGAAAGGGGCTTATATACCAAAGTAGTTTTCTCTTGGAAAAGTCAAATGCCTTAATCTTTTTTTTTCTTACCTATAGGAGTCTGGGAGGGGAAAAAAAATTACTTGAGTAAGGAGGTTGGTGGAGCTGGACAAACCAGTCCTGCAAAAGCTATGGGCAGAGGGAAGGTAAAGCTGGCAACACTGAGCTTGGGGTTGTCTGGGACCAACTTCCCCAGATGCAATAGCTAGGGTCTCTTCGGGTAGGCAGAGAAATGTGGCAGCTTCCGAAACACCAGACAGGTGGAGTCTTTTTGCTAGAAAGGAGACCCGGCAAAGAGGAAAAGGATTAGCAAACCTAGGTTCAAATTCCAGTTGTTCCTCTCTGTTTGCTCTTCCCTACTGGGAGTGGTGGGGAAGAGGATTAGGTTTTGCATCTGTAAAATGAATACAGGCTACGTGATCTCTCCCAGCTTTAAATCTGATGAACTTGTTATTAAAATAGCTGGGAAACCACAAATTGGCTTTGGAGCAAAGGCTATCCCTCAATTTGGGCCACTTTTAAGTACATAACATGTGTGCTCCAAAATAGCATATATTATTATCTGTGAGTGCACAACAATAACTTAGGTCATGGAGATGGGTGCGTGGTTATTTTTTTCAGCCCGTTCCTACTAGAGTAAACAATTCCTGTTGGGGCTTCGTCTGTTTGCCAGTCTAGCAATACGCAGGCAGTTTTATATGTCTAATGATAATATTCATCAGCATCAAAACCTGCATTTATATAGTTCTTTAAGGTTTACAAAGCACTTTACATGCAGTATTTAGTATTGTGGTAGGCAGGGTGAGATTTAAGGATGGGGACTATTGGGGATGGGCCGGTGTTATTCCAAGGGCCAGAGAGAAGTGAATGATTAGGACAGATTGCAAGAGAATTGCCTGTCCTGAGCTAGTGCAGGCATTTTAGCTCCAGGGATCTGCAGCAGAGGGATGGCAGAGAGGTGACTTTGGCTGAGAGTCTTGTAATATTCTCGTCCTGGAAAGATGCTAAAAGATGCAGAGCCCTGTAACCCTAGCCCATAACAGACAAGTGCCATCCAGTTTTATTCATGACTCCTCATTAGTCCTTTTAACAGTGTAACCCAATGGAAAAAGTGTTGGTCATGGATTCAGGCAACCTGTATTCAAACTGCAGTTTTTATTATAGCTGTGGGACATTAGGTAAGTCACTTAATTGCTCTGGGGATCAGTTTCTCCAAGTGTCAAATAAGACACTTCCTTTCTCATAGGGTTGTTGTAAAGTGCTTTGTAAACTCTAAAATGCTTTATAAATGTAAACTGCTATTATTAATTATAATAATAATTATTATTATCATCTCATGCTCCTTCTCTACTGCTGGCAGCTTTTCCAAAACTCTCTCCTTTCTCCTTAAACTGATTTTTTCAATCACTGCTTTTTAAAAAGCAATTTTTAAATTTTTTAAAGTCAAACATATATTTGAATATTACATTGACTTGGGTATTACAAATGTTAAAGTTTCACCAATTTTGTTTTTATTAGGATTTTGATCACCTTCAACAAAGACATAACAGTTTGCTTGCCTGTTTGGCATCTCTCTTTGATGTTAGTCTATATACCCTCTTAGAGACTTATTCAGAGGACTTGAGAATCTCTTATCCAATTGCCTTCAGCTAATTATCTAGAGAGTTGCAGGCATTTAAAAACTTAACATCTTCTTTGAAAGAGAGTTAATTCATCTCATTTCCCTCAAAGAAATCAGAACTATATTGTTCCCCCTACCCCACACCCTTCCCACCTTTATGTTTTGGATTGCCTTTATCATTACAGACCATAGATTCTATTCCTCAGTAGATCAGAGGTGATTGGAGTTGGGGCCTCTGAGAATTTCCTGAAAAAAGAACAGACATCACCCCCAAATGTCTTTACATTCTTTCTGCCTCTTGTAAAAGTAGATCATCTAATTGGATATTCAAAATTTGGTTAGCACATTATAGGAAAATTGCTCCAAAAAGCAGTGTAGAAAAGGTCATCCTAGAAACCTTGAAGGAAAAGAAGAGTAATTGAAACTAGAAACTTTCCACTGAGCTTCCAAAAACTGCTGCCATTTTCCCAAAAGATGTTAAAATGCTTATCTTTATCCCTCTTTTATTCTGTCCATTAGCTAGGGAAATCCATTCTTTTGGGGGGAAAGTAGGACTTTAAAAAATATTTTTACTTAACTTTTATTATCTGGAGGGTTTTTTTGTTTTATTTTTATATCACTTTCATTTCTGAATATATCCCTTCTTATTCCCCTACCCAGTAAATCACCCCTTATTGCAAAAAAAAAGGAGGAAAAAAGCAGTTCAGCCACATTAACCAAGACAGGAAGCAAGTCTGGTAGTGTATGTAATATTTCATCCCTGTAGTCCATCACCCATCTCTGCAGGGAAGAGGGAAACCTGAAGAAAGTATCACTTTTGAGGCAGTTAGGTGATGTAATAGATAGAACGCTGGATTTGGAGTCAGAAAGACCTGAGTTCAAATCCTATCCTGGCCTTATGACTGGAGCAAGTCACTTAACCTTTCAAAGTCTCAGTTCCCTTCCCTCCCTCTCCAAATAGCATCTACTTCACAGATAGGGTAACATGTAAAGTGGCATTTAAGGTAAACCTTAAATGCTAATTACTATTATTATTTTGAAGTTTCCCTAGAGAGGAAAGGTTCCAATGATGTTCTATGATTCGTGTCTATGTGCACAGAACAAAAGCTATTTGTAGAGAAATTGAGTCCAAACCACTGACCTGGGGTGCTACTTATGGCTTTGTAATTTGAAGAGATATCTGCTAGAGAATATTTTTGGTATATAACTAGACCAAAAAAAATGCTAACAGAAGAGCTGTTGGAAGTATAACAGGCAAGCTGAGATGGCAGAAGCATATTGTTTCCATAAGGCTCAGGTGGAAGGAAGCAAAATTAAGGTAATTACATATATAATTCATATATACACAGTATGTATGTGGATGGACACAAAAAATATACACATAAAATAAGAAACTACATAGAGTAGAGGCATTCTGTGAGTAACAAATCCATGATTTGCCAACATCCCATCTGTACAAATGGCTTCCCTGATCCTCCTACCCATCCCAAGGCTGCTCCTCCAAACAGCAACCAAGCTTTTCTGGACCAAAGGTACTAGGCAGGTGACCAGCATCTGTAATTATCAAATACAAAATCTCTTTCCTTTCTGTGGTCCTCTTCACACAGACCACATACCTGTCGTCATGCTGTCCTACCTTTCTTTTCCCTTTCTATTGTCTTTTGCTGATCACAAATTCATTCATTGCACCTGAGGAAATCTTTTCTCATATATACATATGTCAACCCCCTCCCCCTACATACTTTTCCTCTTCTAAGTCCTGTCCAGTTACCTCAAAGAAATTTAGTTTTCTTTCTGTATATGTCTGCCTGAACCTTTTTCTTCCTTTCTCTTTTTTCCTTTCTTTGTGCCTTTTGTAAGTGAAAAGAAAAATAATCGTAAACAAAACTGAGTACAAGAGTAAACCCATTTATATCAGAGAAAAGGAAAGCAAGAATTTTAAAGCGTAATTAGACATAATAAAGAATGAATATCATCAACCTCTGATGTCCTTTAAAGTAGGCAGAAATCATGGGAATTCCATAAAATTATCTGACTACTTCCTCATCGTTTCCTAAATAAACTACTTTTCATCAAGCAACAACCTCCAAGATAAATATGCTATTTTGTATTCAGTATTCGAATTCTTAGTATTGCAACATTATTATTTCCTACCATTTTCATCAAAATTTGTTGTAATTCAACTAAATTAGAGGCTACATACGCTTTGTGTGGGCTGGTATGGAATATAATATGAATCAAAATAGCAGAATAGAGAAAGTATAGGATTAGGTACCCAGAGATTTGAGTTCTAGACTCAGAGCTGCCATTTTATTGGCTACCAGACTGTGGGTATGCCATTTCATCTCTCTGAGTCTCACTCACTTCACCTGTAAAATCAGCATATTAATTCTTGTCCCAAAACTTCACTGGGTTCTTGTCAAAATTAAAATGAGAACATAGGTTTGAAAGTTCTTTGAAAACATCAAAGCATGATGCATTTATTATTATACTTAACATTGTTTCTAGGGGGAAGTGAAGTTTTCAACCATTGACTTGAAATTGAATTTTCTGTAATTGAAGATGCAACATATTCGCTTACACCTATGATTTTTAAAATAGTCTTCAGTCATTCATTAACCATAGAACTATATAACAACATATAAATATGATGACATAAATAATATTCTTATCAGTCCCTGATCATAGCCATGTTATATTGGATATCTATAACCACTCTAGTTGTGTTAGCAGCTTAATAGAATAACTTTACTGTCACCTGGTAGTTTCAATCCCCAAATGGTATTAGGTGGGTAGGTCACTTCCCCTTATTTACCAGACTTGTCTATGACTTTTGGCTGTGCCAAAAAAGTCAAAACCAGACCCAAATAGAAAAACTTGCCAACACTGAAGATGTGGTCTAGTGAAAAAGTCTGACCAATTTAGAGTCAGAGGATCTGGATTCAAATCCATTTTGCCAATTCTCTCTGTCTGATCTTGGGCAAATCACTTCTCTGGGACTCAGTCTGGACCTCATCTGTAAACAAGAGGATTGAATGAAATGATTTCTAAGGTCCCTCTCAGTTCTGAGTCAGTGATCCTATGAACTTCTGACTAAAGGCAATTTCATTGATTCCGACATCTTTAAACTGTGTTGCTTTCTAGACATATCTCATACATGAGCCTCAATTATTATATAGTATCATACAGTATATAGTTTATAGCATCATATATAGTCAAGCT